GTGTGTGTGTGTGTGTGTGTGTGTGTGTGTGTGTGTGTGTGTGTCTGATGTTGTGTCTTACTCTTACAGGCAGCCTGTGTGCCAGTGATGTTGAGTAATGGCTGGGAGCTGCCCTTCTCAGAGATCATCGACTGGAATACGGCAGCCGTGATTGGAGATGAAAGGCTGCTACTACAGGTAGGTGCACGTACAGCTGCTGCTGCTATAGAAACCTAGAGGTGGAGGCCAAAGTTGTTTTACATCAGAGGATTCACAAGTCATCGTTTTCTTCAGGATAACAATGTTTGTGAGTGACCAAAGCTCCTGGGGGCTGATTTCCTGTATATGACAGCTGAGATAGTTATTGAGGCAGAACTTGCACTTTTTCTGCAGACCTTGCATTTTGTTGGTAAAATGACAATACCCAGTGTATTTATACAGGACGACTGTCTTCTGTTTTGGTTCGGCAGCGGGTAAATATGCTAATATGTATTTCTTTCTTTCACAGATCCCGTCAACAGTGCGCTCCATCCACCAGGATAAGATCCTGTCCCTGAGGCACCAGACCCAGTTCCTCTGGGAGGCTTATTTCAACTCTGTGGAGAAGATAGTACTGACCACACTGGAGGTACACACACATGTTTGAACATACATATTAATTGCATGTTTGTAATATATTGTTGTAGAAATTGTGATACATGTACATCCTTCAAATCAGGTGACGGTGCACACAATTTGCCTGCTTGTATGAAACGTTTCCTGTTTGTGTGTGAGATGTTCTTGCGCGTCACTACAGTACCATCTTTGTGTTTCATCCAGTAATTTGGAAAATGTCAGATGTTACTGCTGTGATTCTGCTGTTTTCAGCTGTAGGAAAACAACTGCGCTTGATTGCACACAAATACAAATACGGCGTGAATCCATTGTTGATTTTATTTTCTCTCGGTTCTGTTCATCAGTTATTGACTTTGCACTGACTTTGTATCATACAAGTGCAGACCGTGTCGTTGCAGACATATTGCCCACAATGAAACCGCTCCAGACTAGATTTAAAAAACCATAGGTATGATATATACAGTATATACCGTCAAACTCTGCCATAATGTTTTTGTGAGGCTGTTTCTTGCAGCGGCTCGGCTATCAATCATGTCAGTAGTTTGTTCCTGTCAGATTCCATTTATCTGTCTTGCTCCTGCTGAGTAGCAGGTTATCTCACTGCTGTTGGGCTAGAATTACAAACGCACAGATGAGAGCAGGGAGGAATGTAAAAGGATGAAGGGAGCAAGGCAGAAAAACCCGAGAGGATGTGTTGAGGCTGGCTGTGAGTAATGCAGGATGTTTCACTGCATTCAGAATCATGCTTCTGGCCATCCCTAAATTCACCAGCCACTATCGGCACTGGACCTCTGCTGTTAGCCCATTAGCTGCTGTCCTTCAGATAGTGTTACAGAGGCCTCGTCCCAAGAGGTAGGAAGACAGGGCTGGGATAAAGTTACACCCACGAAGAAGCTGATCTTCGATCTGTTTACACTCTCAGTATCTTAACCCGTCTCCAAAACATGCTGTAGTACGAGGCTGGTGAGATGTCAGTGCCTTGGCTTCGGATTATTTCCAACAACTACCCCATGCTTTAGAGAACGCTCTGTGTTTCATTATGGTATCCTGTCATGTTCTAAGAGCTCTGGTGGAGGGGGAAAAACCGACACATTGTATGTGATATTGAGCTAAACAAACACATAAACTTCTAAATTTGTATCAGGCTTATGGAACGGCTGAAATGATGTTACCGCTGACTTCTATTCTTCAATTTATGTTTTGTCTATGCGAAGGGATGACAGCAGAATGAAAACCACTCATTTGTAGTCTGCAGGCTTTTTGTTTTGTTTGCTTGAGAAGTGCCAGAGGATCTGTGTCTGCCTTCGAACAGCAAAGAAGACTGATGTGATTATTGTTTAGTTTGAAGTAAACAGACGTGTAAGCTCTTGGCTCAAAGTCAGTATCCTGCTGACATCTTACCATTGTTAACACTCATCCAAATACTCAATCTTAGCCTTGTGGTCTTATGTTTTTTCTTCTACATGTCACACGGGAAGTATTGTGAACATTTGATTGATATTTTACCAATTGCAATCTATTGACCACTCTACAGAAGACATAAATGTGGATAATCTCCTCCTCTGTTTCTGCAGATCATCCAGGACCGGGTCCTGCAGCACAACTCCAGGAGTAACCTCATGTGGAACAGTCTGCCCGGAGGCCTTTTCACCCTGCCTCAGTACTCCACGTACCTGGGAGACTTTCCCTTCTACTACGCTAAGCTGGGTCAGTTAATCACTCGTGCATATGCTATATGCTAAGAACCACGTTTATGGCCCCCCCCCCCTAAGTTTTAGACTGATTTTCATTTACGACAGAGCACTGGAACAGCTGGTGCGTGACAGCTTTTGAATACTCGTAAACTCGTAACATGAATCGGTGACATTGCGACACGTAATGAAGTACGTCTTTATTAATTCACCATTTATCACAGAGGAACTCTCCAATTAGACCTGCCATGTTGTATCTGTGCCTGGTTAATTGGCCCGATATAGGGCTCGATGTTGACATTGGGATTTGGTTAACTGGCTCCGTTTCCTCTCCAAGCCTAATTAGACCGGTTCAGTTACACGGTATGTCAAGTCAACTCCGCTTGAAGTAAACAAGCGCCAACTAAGAGATGCTCGAAGCTCTCAAAGAGCAGTTATTTATAGATAGAATTCAGCTTTGTGCAGTTCAGTTTAAGATTTGTGATAGTAAACGGGTATGACAGTGATGCCAAACAACTATGATGATACTTCAACATATAGCCGAAGGGTTGTTGCCGTTACCATGCTCAAGTGATACTACCGTGTGAGTGAACATGATGCAGATAATACTTTGCTCCTTTGCTCACCATTGACGTGTCCCGGCTGCTCTCAGGTGTTAAGCCCTACACCAAGTTCACCGCGATCGTTCACGTGGTGAGCCCACTGGTCTCCCAGTCCCAGCCGGTCATGAAGCTCCTCGTGGCTGTGGCCAAATCCCAGTACTGCGCTCAGGTAATTAAAACCCACCAACACATCACACTACATGACTCACTCAAGCTGTGATCAGATTGACCTGATCTGCAGTGGTGACTGCTTGATTCTGATGGGAGGTGAGTAGATGCTCCATATAACGGAGACATTTTATCCGATGAGTGTTTTAAGATGTTAAACAGAAAGAAAAGTGAGCAGAGCTACTTTGGCAGATAAAAAGGTCTGTTTGTCTCTGTGTCTGTCATTTCTCAGGTTTATCACATCACCGGTGTTTGCTGAAAACTGCTTTTGAAACTTTTCGAACCTTTTCATGCTGGAGATGAAGGGAGCCTGTCCAAATAGTTTCCAAATGTTCCTGCCACAATAGATCCGCCCTGCCACTCGTCACTCTACAGATGCTTATTATCCTACAGCAATGTGAAACCATTACCTGCTGAATCATTTCAATGCACAGCTGTTCAGCTGTCAGACATCAGAATTGTTCACGATAACTGTAATTCTTCAGTGAATTCATACATATCAGGCCGTTTTAAGATGTTAAAAGGGACAGTGTCCTGTGTTTAATAAATATGTACACCCCTGGCATTTTGCAGATTCACCATAAATGTGGCTTCTGTTTCTTTTGTTCCTGGATTTAAAACTGCATGGCCAGCATGAAGGTGGCGGCACATTTTGTTTTAACATTAACAGCGATGCACTTTGTCGCTGTCACGTAACTGTAGGCGGTGTGACAGTTTCTGAAAATAGTTCTGCAGCAGAAAGAGGACGTCTTCCACATAAATAGGGACTAAATGATTCAAAAAAAAGAGCTTTGAATTGGGACAAAAAAGCCTCATTGTGGAGGTTTTGATCTATATATTTATAAGCCAGACATGGATTGTCAACCATTAATACACTGCTATTATAACGTAGTTCTCATGAGAATGAATATGAACATGAACATGTTGGGATGACTAAGCTTTTACCTATTTTCCCTTTTGTGCAGGTGATCGTTCTGTGGAACTGTGACAAACCTCTTCCTGCCAAGCACCGCTGGCCTGTCACCTCAGTTCCTGTCATTGTTATAGAAGGAGAAAGCAAGGTACAAAAAACAAGCCATTTCACAGTCAACACTCAAAGCCTTCAGTTGAAAATAATGAATTCATCTAGATGTAAAAACATGTTTTTATGAATTCATCAAGATGAAATAATGAAAGTGATTAAAAACCTTTCCCTGTCAGTGTTTCTTCATTTAAAGCTACAACCTTCCTGCCCTTAATATTGATGACTTAGCGGTCAGTGAAATGCTGTATTTCTGCTGTCATTGGTCTTATGTCAGCTTGTATATTGAATATGACTTGCTCTGCTGTTAACGCGGCAAGATGCATCAACTCTCTAGCACGAACGGCCGTTAAGACACCGGCAGCGCTGCTCGTCAGGCAGATGTACCCCGCTTGTGCTCATATGGGCCGTGTGTATACGCTGCTTGTTGTTGTTGAGCTGCACGGTAAAATGTTTTACCCTCTTTTTACAACCAGTCACATGTTGCTTGAGCGTCTGTGTTTTTTGCAAATCACGCCAGGTGATAAGTAGCCGCTTCCTGCCCTACGACACCATCCCCACCGACGCTGTGCTCAGTCTGGACGAGGACACTGTGCTCTCCACCACAGAGGTCAGACTGCCAGAAAACTTACATTTACGGCCATTTTTATTAAATCAAACATGCTGCAGAAGTTCTTGATAATAACTGTATAAGCACTGGACACAGTGGATGTGTTTCTGGTTTCCTGGCCTCATGTCGTCCCTGTCTCTTTGTTTCTGTCTGATCTCGGTCCAGGTGGACTTTGCCTTCACGGTGTGGCTAAGTTTCCCAGACCGCATTGTCGGTTACCCGGCCCGCAGCCACTTCTGGGACAGCAACAAGGAGCGCTGGGGCTACACCTCCAAATGGACCAACGACTACTCCATGGTGCTGACCGGGGCTGCCATCTATCACAAGTACTGACACTTTCACTCCTCTCCAGCTGACATTCAGTTTCCCTTTAGTGCCGCGCTAACACAATTCACTCTCCTTTTATGTTCTCCCTTAGATACTACCACTATTTGTACACCACCTACCTTCCAGCCAGTCTGAAGAGCATGGTCGACCAGATGTCAAACTGCGAGGACATTCTGATGAATTTTCTGGTGTCGTCTGTGTCTAAACTACCGCCCATCAAGGTCACCCAGAAGAAACAATACAAGGAGACCATGATGGGACAGGTGAGGCGGAACATTTATCCAGTAAAACTAGTTCATTTTATAGTATGCCTGAAGGTAGAACAGGCACTATTTCTAAGAGAGACAATACAGCACGCGTTACTTGAAGTACCCTGTTGAGATGTTGTGGAGAGAAACACCTGAAGGATGCAGACTGTTGGTGGCAATTTATCACGTAGATTAGAAGAAGAAGCTATTCAATAACATGAAGGACATCCGTTACTTTTAGGAGACTGTTAAATCCAGCTAGGTGGTGTTCTCTTTTTAAACATGATATACGCCTTTAAACTGTACATTGATGCTCACAGACAGGGACCCGTGCTTTTCCTGATTATGGTAGAAGCTTATGGCCTTTAGACATATCGCACCACTTAAACCCTCATAGTGTTGGCTGTTAAACCAGATCATCAGTCATGTGTGAATTTAAATAGAAATGTGTGTTGTTTTTTTTTTTTTGCAATGTGACCTTCAATTTATATACACATGAATATTTACAACAGGCTCTAAAAGGTCAGAATAATTTGTGATGCATTATTCATTTATCGGTTTCTCTTTTCCTTGCACTGCCTCACTCTCTCTCACTCTCACTCTCACTCTCTCTCTCTCTCTCTCTCACTCACTCTCTCACACTCTCTCACACTCACTCACACTCACTCTCTCTCTCACACTCACTCACACTCTCTCTCTCACACTCACTCACTCTCTCTCTCACACTCACTCTCTCTCTCACACTCACTCTCACTCACTCTCTCACACTCACTCTCACCCACTCTTTCACACTCACTCTCACCCACTCTTTCACACTCACTCACTTTCACATTCTTTCACACTCACTCTCTCACGCTCACTCTCTCACCCTCCAGAGCTCCCGGGCGTCTCGCTGGGCCGACCCGGACCATTTTGCCCAGCGTCAGACCTGCATGAACAAGTTTGCCAGCTGGTTTGGCACCATGCCCCTGGTCCACTCTCAGATGAGGCTGGACCCGGTACTGTTCAAAGACCAGGTGTCCATACTGCGGAAGAAGTACAGGGACATCGAGAGACTATAACCCTTCCGAAGACACCCCCCCCTCCCCCCCGGCTCTCTGGACGCTGGACAAAGACAGAGCGAAGGGGGGCGGTGACGAAGAGAAACACGGAGCCTCTCCATGATTGCACGGCTGGATCAACAGGAGTGGGCACAGGAGTGGGCAGGAGGAACAGATGTGGAGGTCACCACATGCATTGGTCTGCTCCGTTGTGTCCATTTCTCCTTTCTACCCTTTCTCTTATGTGTATAGCTGAGCACACGCTATGAGGACCACCTACTGAAGGACACCAGAGGACGGCTCGTCTTTGAACTGTTGTGGTCAAAGTCATGGAGTCGGCGATCATAGCTGCTTCCGTGTCCCGACTCGCCTGTTCTGCTCTGTGCACACAGGTTGCTGAAAAGTCTTTCATGACAGAAAATTCTTGATGATTATGATTATGAAGAGGATGACACTATTTTGGATTGTGTTTAGCTATTTTGTTTTGTTTATATACAGTGAATGAATGGCCAGCACTTCTCTCTGTGTTGTCTTAATTGGAACCAATAGCAGGTGGGCAAAGAGGAATGAGTTCTGATCGTTTGATTTGACATTCACAGTGCCTCAAGTTTGTCAAAGGAAAGGTTGTTATGCAGAAGGAGCACATTGATCTCGCTGCTTTGTGTTTTTGTTTTTGTTTCTCATGATTGGCTTTATGATTTATGGAATAATGGATCTCGTAGTAAAGTCTTCAGGTCAGCATTTGCATTGCTTCCTTGCTAAAGTTTAAATTTATTTGTATTCAATTGACAAAACAAAACAATTATTACGTGCCATTCTGACATATTTTGTTTTCACGGTAAAACTACAACAGTGTCACACAACTCTCTAACTTCATTGGAGCTAGAAGTCGTTGGACGAGCTAGAGTCGGTGCTGGAATATGTGCTGGCCTGAAGAACAATAGAAGATCACAAGAGTTGCCTTGGTGTGAAGGGATGCTGAGCTTGCTAATCAAGCCAACCCGTGGTCTGTCTGAAACACGACCCACTGTGAAAACCCGGGAATGGATCTTTTGGGGCTTTGTTAGCAGACGATATTTATATACGGCCATTGTCTTCATGCCATAGACCCAATTCATGTCGTCCGGTGACAAGTACTTGACGTGGGCTTACACTGCGTTCATCTCAGAGCATCAAACTGTGCTCGGTGCTTTCAACGTCCGAGTTGGCATCATACTAAATAGACTGCTGTGTTTCCCCCACTTGTTGTGAACAAATGGGACCAGATTGGCAAGAATTCTCCAAAGTGTATCTCTGACTATCGCAGCCATTCATCTCTGAGGTTCGGGTTGGTAATGTGCTCATGGGCTTGGGACAAATTCAAGAGGCAAACCAGGATGTTAAAGTTCCATGACTCGATATTCATAATTTTCATTTTCTTTGTTAGTTTTCTCAATCTGATGTTTGTATCTAATTTACTGCAACTCTGTAGGTGGAATGGCAAGAGTCCGTGGAACAGGAAAGATCTTTATTTGTTATTTTTCTAAGTGTTTGGTTTCATCAACAATCATGCTTCGTTTTTGTTTTTTCCCCCCTGTCCTCATACGTCATATCGGGTGATCTGAAGAATGTTGACAGAATTTGATAAATTTAGACTGTGCACCTGTGTTTCTGAATCCCAGTCCATCTGTCCCTGAGGTGTCCCTGTAAAGCCAGCAGCGTTTCTGTAGAAGGCTAACAAACACCTGCCCCGAAGAAATGATCATTTCGGTATGTTCCATCTCTCTGTACCCATCACCACTATATGTGCCAATACATGGTTTTGCTTTTTTTTAAATTTATTTTTCAGTTCATACAAGGAATGCTGTGAATTCCCAGAAAACATCTCCTGTCTGTATAAGTGAGAAAGAGGGGGGAGGGGGTGGGGGTGAAGGTGAAGGAATGGTGTATGTGTGAAAGGAAGGAGCTGCATGGTCTTTTTTTCACAGCTTGATAGCAAATAAACAATCCTAGTATTACTAAACACAGCGCTATCAAACAGCTGAATATGGTCGTAAACAGAATCACATTTCAGAAATGAACTTGCTGCAATATTTAAGATGACATTTTCTCTTTATCTCCTTTGTGTTGTTTCAGAGGGCTAGGGGGTTATTATATATATTGATGTGCCTTCAGAAGAAATACACTTATTAGATTTTCTTTTTTCCCCCCCATCAGCCTTGTGCAAGAAACAAGTCCCTGTTTTCATTTCTTAGTAGATTTATTGTTTTCTTTATCAACATCCAGTAACACATAATGGCTCCCTAAATGATTTTGTTTAACACTGGAATGCTACTAAGACTTATCACCACACACCTGATACTGACATTCCTGCCTTCTTTCTGTTGTAGGAACTTTCTTTTTCTGTTTTTCTTTACACGTACGGCCTTGTATTACTTTACTTCCTGGTTGACGCAAGTATAGTAATACATGTAACACACGTAATTCAATCATACACAGTATTTGTCAGACAGGACTGAATCTCTGCCTGCTTCCTTCCCTCTCTTCTGTAACCGCAGACCTAATTTTATAGAGATTAAAATGGAAAGATAGAGGAGGGGGGGGGGGGGGATCACAATTTTGTAAAAGAATTTTATAAAATCAAAACAATAAAATATTTGATATAAATTGCCTGTGTTTTTGTGTATTTATTATCTGGTCATTTATGTCTTTGTCATCCTTTTAGAATGTTCTGGTGCGTCTGCTTGTCTTTCAAACAAATATTGAATCCAACATCGGATATTAGAGCTACATTCCTAAAATCTACACTGTGCTGCACAAGACATGCATTCCCTCTCCCTCCTCTCTGACCTGCTGGCAACCTATTTTGAGGCTTCCCGAAACATATTTTGCATGTTGGGTTTATGCAGTGGTGAGGGAGAGCCAAACTAAATAATACCTTTAGCTTCCTCCGTGTGTGTGTGTGTGTGTGTGTGTGTGTGTGTGTGTGTGTGTGTGTGTGAGAGAGTGTGAGTGTGAGAGAGAGAGAGAGAGAGAACGTGAACCTTATCCTATGCCAAGAAACTGCTGTGTTTACATAAATCTGTGTCAGGATGATCGGTTTAGACACGCTGCATAAATAACAGCATCTATCCAGGATGATCCCATGGTGCATGAGAGCTGCCAACTCAGCTGCAGCAACAGCCACAGGAGAGATACCCCCAAAACAAACACACACACACAGACTGACACCAAACTGGGTAAAACTCTAGAAGCAAAAAGCTGTGCAGTACGTTAAAGCTGGGCCAGTGCCTACACAGCAAAAATGATATAGTGACACACCAAAAGGAAAAGCATTTGGACATGACACCATGACCACATCCACTCTGAATGGTCTGTGGACCAACTTTTTTTGCATGGAGTGAGAGAAAATTTGTGATTTGCGATAAACCAAGGAGTGAAACTTCACTGCACTGGAGGGCTCTATCCTCTGCCAAAAGTCAGCTTGTATGATTTTACGGTATGCTAATCAATTCCACATCTCTTAATCCTACCAATGCAGCAGAGATGGATCTCAGCGTGCATGGGTTCTTCCCAACGGTTGGATTAAATACTGTGACTCCAGGCCAAATTTGACCAAAATGTCCCTCCTTTCCTATCAGCTTTACATCACATATTATAGCAGCTTGTTTCAAGTTGCACTCGGCCATAAATAAATAAAAAGAAACCCATCATTAGTAATATGAACAAATGAATTGGCACATTATGGCACTTTTAGCCCAAGCACTCGATTTCACATGATTAAAGGAATCTCACGCTTCAGGTAGTATTTGCTTGGATACAAAGCTGTTGCATCTTTTATCCCACACATACGTGTTCATACTAGAATGCTTCAGCAAAATCCGAACCGCAGGATGTTTTATTTCATACAGCTGTGCAGAGATAATGATGTGCTTCTGTTTTGGTATGTAGAGAGAATCAGATGTTCAGGCTCTGTGACTCACACCGTGTACGTCAACACGGTGGCTCATGTAATGCTGAGAAGCATCGGTACTGAAGCGGTTGCTTACTCTAAGGCTGTTTAGATGTCTCTGTCACACGATGACAGCAGCCAGCAATCGGCTATCTGGATAAAAGTATGGTGTTTAGCAGATGGCAGCCCAAAACTGTGTCACCATCCAGACACGGCTGTGCAGCATTGTGTTCAAATGTGTCATATATGCGCATTTCTGTACAGGACATCAGATATTTAAAGAAAAATATTTAAAAAAATGTATCATGAATCAGCAACACATTGAAAAGCTCCATCCAGCTTTATATTAAACACCATTTTAAATTCATTATTGTCTCTCTTGCATTTGTTAGCTTTCAATTTAGTCATTTTTGGCCGAGATTAAATGTGAATTGATCTTACAATGAGCTGGTGAGTCTGTGCAATGATGAACTGTGTATGAAAACGACGATGTCATTGATTCTGGAGCATATTTCCACGGATTTGAATACATTTAGTGAATTAGTTCTTCCCTTAAAGTAATAAAATGCCAGTTGTGATCATCCTGTAATTATGACGATTAAGGCAGCTCAAGTGCCTTGAGAGTTTACCTTGTTTTCCATCTGTACTGTCGCTGCAGATATCCAGCGATGCCTGGCCGTTTATTGAATATGACTTAAAGGATTTGATAAATCTATTCTCAAACCGTGCTGATAATGAGAACTATATTTAACTATACAGTGACCTGGAGCCCTGCTGCTGGTATGTCATGATCATGCTCGACTGGAAAGCAGTTCTACCACCGCAGATGCCGCAGCCTATGAGACAAATATACTTTACCGCATACCAATTTACAGTTTGACTGTAGATGATTCCGTCTCTCGTCTCTGTATCTGTTTTGGAAGTTGTTTTTGTGGGTATGGACGTCCAGTTCCTGTACTATTCTGTTCAAAGGACTGAATTTGTTTGGAAGGCTGGTAGGTATTTTTGTGTTTCCTCCTCATGATAATACTGTTTCACCGATTAGAAATTCGTCTTGATAAATTCACCCATTCAAAAAATAATTTAATAGGCCCTTTTCACAGCAGCCATTTTGACCCATTATAGCAGGATTACAGTGTAATACCTTTTCAGTGTTCCGGTAATTCGGAGCATGCACAATAGTGGGGCCCTGCAAAATGAGGCCCCTGAATGGAACAATGGACTGCGATGACATGTCAAAATGTCTGCCGTGAAAGAGGTGTGTTAGGAGAGCCCAGTTTGTTTTAGGCCACTCTGTTGATGTACCGGATGTGAGAGTCACATTAGGCCCGGGTCATAACCAGTGTTATAACATGGGGTCTGCTGGGTTTTTAAAAAAGATTAGCAGCCAGATGGGACAGCTGGCGATGGGAGCAGAGCAGGCAGACAATCATATCCACAAAAATACAACATGAGTTCAACAGCCGTGTGCAACCTCAGTGGGAAGTGAACCCTGAAACAAAAATAAAAGGAATATGTTACAACAACGATAGTTTTGTAACAATAACAAGTGTAGCAGATGATTCAGTGTCACTTGCATGTCTACTACGTGTAAAACAGACACACACTGTGTTATCATAATCATATTGATTTATTTATGATTAAGCACCTTATATGTCTCCGGTGAGCATTGTGCAATAGCGCCCCCTATCTCCGCTTGGCGCTCACAGCGGTGCTGTCTGTCGGCCTCAGCCTCAACAGACTCCTCCTCCGCCATTTTTGACTGTAAACATCCTGCCGATTTTAAAAGGACAGCGGTGAGCGGGAGGAAGGCGACTGGCGCCATCTTGGCTGTTTTAATGAGTACAACAGGGGAGAATACGCGGGGAGAAATCACATAATCATTGGAATTTCACTGTAAAGGGGGCACTGTCGGTAAGTGTGTTTGCAGCGGAAATATTTACGCGTGGTTTTGTGTGCTCTACGAGCTGAAATAAGCATGCACGTTTGTGTGAATTCACTGCGGCCTTCACTGTACAGGGAGCCGTTAGCCGCCAGCTAACGATACAGTTGTGCTGAATGAGGGAAAAAAAGTACGAGTAACGTTAGTGTTTGATGGGCGCGTCGTTCCGGCGCGCTTTATTGTTTTTTCACGTGTGAACTCTATTTTTGTCCGCTGTTTTAGGAAAGCTATATTATATTTAAATGAACTTAAATCGGTATGAATCGTTTTCATTTCTCATTTTGTAGTTAACTGGCGGCTAATTTAGTTCATCCCACTTGATGGCGCCGACTATTTGCTGGCGTTGACCAACCCCTTGGCGCTCTTAACGCATTACACCGTATTAAGAGCCTAACGTTACATAACCACGCGAATTTCTCTTTTAACAAAATAACGATGCACTTGTGCAAAGTATGAATTCATAAGAGAAGAGCACGGGGAAAGTGTTTTGTTACCGCTACCATTGGCAGGCATGTGCATTTCCAATGTTTTCCTCCCTGACTGGGAAATAGGCGGAACTTGTAAAAAAGTCAGCGCTTGTTTTGATTAAAATTGAAATTTTTTAACTACCGTGCCCTGTCCTGTTTCCGAGTTATGTTAGCGTAAATGTTTACAGTTAGCGTTGACCAAATTAAGCACGACAAGGGACAAAAGATCTTAAGGTTAACGTCATACGTTAGCCAATGAGCCGACACAAGTTTAGCTAATGTTTCAATCAAAACCAGACCCTGTCAAGTAATTCCTAAAACAATGACGTTACTTACTAATAACCAAAGTTACCTAAGGTAACGTTGGCTAAAACCAATTGGCTTAACGTTTCTCATCTTTGCAGTGTTGTTGGCTAACTTGCTATGTCGAAAAAGAGATTCCTGTTTTCCATAGAAATGGATCGTTTTATACATTTTTCAGATTTGTTTGGGCGGCTTTACGACTTCCTTCGTCAACCAAGATTATCTAAATCACTCGTGGTGGTCTGGTTCTTCTGATCGAGCCTCTCCCCCCCCATGGCGTTTGGGACACAGTAAAGATTATTCTTCATAACAAAAAACATTCACATGTTTTATAATTACTAAGTATTGATTATGTGCAGTAGTCAAGTTTCTGCTTTGTTAGCTGATTCCCTTATCATGAATGAACTACCAGAGATATCACCGGTAGAATTGCTGAATTTGGCTAAAAGCAACATTGTTTTTCAAATGCTTGGGGTGGTACAGTGCAGCTACCAGCAAGTTTGTCTTGCATTTTGATTTTTTTTTTTTTTGATTTTTTTTTTTTGATTTTTTTATATAGAAACGCATCTCCTTACACGCAAACTAATCATGTTTATTTTTTTCCTCCAGGTGAACCATACCATAGTGAGTGTGTGAGCCAGGGCAACCGGGGCAATGTTCTACGCCCACTTTGTCCTCAGCAAACGTGGGCCGCTGGCCAAGATCTGGCTAGCGGCCCACTGGGACAAGAAGCTGACCAAGGCCCATGTGTTTGAATGCAACCTTGAGAGCAGTGTGGAGAGCATCATCTCGCCTAAGGTAACGAGATGGAAGTACAGTCTCTGCACTGTGGTGCTCATGCTGCAGGCCTTGTACTTTGCAGCCTTGAGTGTTGTTCGAATCCTGAGTTGTTGCTTTGTTCTGCTTTTTTTTTTTTTTTTTTTTTTTTG